TATATAGATTAATCTATATGAGTATGCAGTTCACTGGTGGTATCCTAAAATAAATTAATATTCTGAAAAAGGGACCCAATTCTTGATTTGGAGGGCAAAATGGAAAAAGGCACAGCCAATCCCCACTTTACTTGATGTGGAGATGGAGGCCCCAAATATGTCAGTGATTTACCCATACTCACAGGGCTACTTATTGGCAAGCTGGTATTCAAACTCAAGACTGCTGACTGTTGTATATTAACGGACTGACTTTAAATAAAAGTTGGCACCATTTAGTAATTACTGAGAAGAACTCAGAAATGTTATTGTCTTTCACTCTCTCCTTTTTTTTTTGTCACAGTGAATGGAATGGTGTTGAAATAGTCTTAAATGAAGAACACATTGTACTTAATTTTCTCCTTTTGGGCAAGGAAGACTTAGTTTTCATGGTTCCTGGGGGTGAAAGAGACAATAGGAATGTTATTTCTTCTTTGCTCATTCTTCCCTGGGAATCTGCCCCCTTCTAAGGGAGTAACATTGCTTCCTAGAGACCAGGTGTGTATTTCTTTCCAGTTCCAAAGAGGCACAGAGATAAGAGGTTATACAAAGGGAATTTCTGCCATAATATACCCTGACACTTACAGCATAAGTACATTTGGAAGGAAGGATTCAGTGGGTTCCCTTACCTGTAGTCAAGAGATTTCCAAGCTCCTAAAAGGAAAGAGGTAATGATTAAGAACACAAAACTTTGTGTGAGTATATATGCATATATGTAAGTATCAGAACTTCTTGGAGACAGTGAATTTCTGGATTTAAACGATCTTTAAACATATTCCCACAAATTAATTTTGCAGACCTTTTCAGAGGCAATTAGGTTTAATGCGGACTTTGGAGTTTTTGAAGTAGTTAACAATGCTCCACAACTTCTGGAAAAGCAACTGAAAAAAATTCTGCTAGACCAGCAACCTCGGAATCCCATCTATGATGTTGTAAGAAAAGAAAAGAATAATGTCAAACCTGTTCAAGTGAATGCCCCCCACTATGAAGATAAGACTGTTAACGTCAACTACAATATTATGGTAAGAAAGTATGTTTGTGATCTAGTTATACTAAACTTATCTATGTTTCCTCTCCTGCTCCCTCTTCAACCAAAGCTCATCATGCTTCCAGTCAGCCATGTTCTGTGGGAAACCTTTGCTTTCTCTGTGCCCTGTGGCCTCCCGCGGGAGCCTGCGCTCATGGCACTAACAGCACTCAACCATTATTGCTTATTGAAGTATCTTTACTCCATAAGAGAAGGGCCTTATCTTTCTTGTTAACCTTGGTGTCCTCAAGGGTAGTTCCTGGGGATATTAAATATTTAACAAAATTTTCTAAATATGGAAGGGCAAGGGCTTGCAGTTACTCTAGCAGCCTTACCAAGTTTTCTGGTTAGTTCTTTTTCTGTTTGTGATTATTTTTAACCGATTTTATGACTGAAAATGCTGAGACTAACTGACTTTTTTTTCCTCATTTTTCCTCCTTCAATAAGTTACTTAACTTCTCCGGATTCAGCTTGTTAATCTGTAAAGTGGAGATAATAGTTGATATAGGGTTGTTGAGAGAAAGAAGTACCGGAAGGCAGGAAATAGCTTCAAATTTGTGACTCAGGGTTCTTGCCCTCCCTTGTGCAAAGAGAGGGTAGACGCAGGGCTCCCAGGAGGAGCTAGAGGTAGTGTTGCTCCAGTGATTAGGCCATAATTGTCCTACAAGGTGATTTTCTTTTTCACTTGTTCTCTAATAGTGTCTCAGTCGTGAACAAGGTATTCAGTGGATCAAAAAAGAAAGACTTCCAGCATTTCTGGAAAGTGATTGCTACTTTGAATACAGGTATTATAGTCTCATCACTACACATATTTTTAAATGCTTGGTTTTTTTCCACCTAAAATCATTTCTCTGTACTTTCTTAATGAAATTGTATACCTTGAAACTGATTGGAGTTTGTATTCCACTTGCTATAATATAAGAGTGATGAAGCATTGGTGAAAATCATTTAACTTTTCCAAAGAGATTTCACAGAAGCAGTGCCTAACAAATGTACTTCAGTTCTGCTTCTTTGATCATTATATTTAAAATCTTTTCTATTTGTGGTGAAGGTATTTATGTGGAGGGTGTTAAAAAATAAACATGAGTGTCATGAAAAAGAATGTTGTAGTGCAGGGCCAAGTTTTTCTTTTGTGTCCCCTGACTTTTAAAGTTTAAGTACCTAAACACTCTGAATTTTTACTAAAACTTGACCTTTGCTTAAAACAACCATCTTTTAAAATAAAAATAAAATAAAACAGAATAATCATTAAAAAATAACAGAATGATTATTAATTAATTAATTAGCAGTTCTATGAATAAGCCATCAGTTTTAGCAGATCCTAAGAGAATCATCCTGCAGAGTTAGGAAGGGAGGTTGGCTTGAATACATAAAATAAAATTTTGGGTTTTTTTCCTGAATTCTACTATATTTGAAACTTATTTCAAGTTTGTATGATTTCTACAATGCAGGTTAGCCAAATTGGTTTCACAAGTAAGATGGAGTGAATCAGGCATGAACATCATACTAGGTACAGATTTTTCTCCCTGGGTCCTGAAAAAACCACCCAGTCCACCACCTCCTGTTGTTGAAGACGACAATGTTATGATTCTGAAAAAGTTCTACATTTCTCTTGGCGAGGTAAAAGTGTGAGTGTTTCTTTGTGACGTGGCACTTCAGTGAAGCTTCTCGTTTTAGGGACATGAATTTCATTTGCACCACTTGACTAGGAAAGTGATTTCAAATACTTATTTTATGCTGACCCATTTGCCCTACACTCTTTCACTTGAAATGTAATTAGAATTATTATCCTCATGTGTACAAAGGAGAAATGCCGGATGGAAGAATGTGCCCAGTGTCACCTGGGAAGCAAGGGTTTCATTGTTCATTCCAAATTTTTTATTATTTGGGTTCTCTAATTTTTGATAAATTGGGTTTTCTCCTCCCTATTGTCCAGATTATTCCTCAGTAATAAAGTGCCTTACTGTTTAACTGCTGTCGGGTAAATCTGTCCTCCGTGGTTGGAGAGTGTTGGGTTGTATGAGTACGTTTGAAGAGATACAACCTAGAATCAAGTGTTGGAGAAACATGGTGTAGTGAAAATTGCTGTTTGATCTCTGGCCTTGCTGGGGAGGAGAATTTTTCCTTCCACCCTTCTAGGTTCTTTGGCTGGTCTGATAATGAAATTGGCGTAAGACAGAGTAACAGGAGAAAAGCAAATGTAATTTCATATGTATGGGAGTCCTATGAGAATATGAGACCCATGAGCAAGTTGAGCAGTGAGGCTGATGTCCCCTCTTCAGCTAAGGAAGAGGGTAGGGGCCTGGGGCTTCAAAGGGGAGGAGGGTAATTCATGGGAGGGTAAGAAGAGCAGACCTTTGGTAATTAGATGTTTGCCTGCCTACAGATAGGTCGATCAGATAAAAGTTATCTCTGGCAATAGCCCTCTCTGAGCCAGGCCCCCTGTCTAAGTTCTTTTGCGTAGTTAAGAGAGAGGTAGAAGTTTTTCTTGAGTCTGCTGGGTCTTGATTATCTTCAGCTCACAATAATCCACATGCCAAAGTGGCACATTTTGAGGTCACATATTCTGCTTCTCTTTAGCCTCTAATTTTCACATCTTCTGTCTGAGAACACATTTCCAAAATAGAGTTCTTTACAAACCAAGAATTGCAAATATGTGGCCCATGTGTTGCTCTTCTTCTGCTCTCCATTCATGACAGACATTGCTAATCAATCATGGCAATTACCCTGCTGAGCTAGGACTTGGCTCCAAATTCTTGTCAACACGACACTCTAGGCAGGCACTTCCAATTGATCAAAGATGTCATACAAGACAAAAACTATTTGCCATCTCTGTTGGAATAGATATCCTTATCTTATCTTGCTTTTAACATTTTTTTTTCTGTGTAAGCTCCTATTTAATTTTGTAGTTTGGCATTTCTATTGGTAATATTTGGCAAAAGTGTTAAAAATTATGCCAGTCCCATTATTTCCTCTGAATGGTGCTTGGAGATGTACTAAAGGCATATTTTCCTTCTCTCTTATCCTTATTTTTAAGTATTTTTTCTCTTAACTTACGTATTATAATAATGTCAGGAATGTCAAAAATATATACTGATCAATATAGAGTACAGAGATCAGTAAACATGCAAAGGAAATAATCAATCTAGTGGAGTAAGTTCTGATTCCTCACTTGTAAATTGAATCAGATCTTAGAGAATGAAAACGCAGGCTAGTTTACTTTTGCTATTTTCTGTGATGAAAAAAATCTCATTTCTGTTGACTCGAGTCATGCTTTAACTATATATTATCCTTTTAATAGCTTTTGAACTTTGAGAATTCAGTGTTCTTTGGGCTCTTAAGTCATTAAACCATGACTATTAAATAGGGGTTAATCTTTATGATAATTGGTAATATTTGAGTCTTCAGTTTTACTGTCTAAACACAAACAATTGACCCATCTTTTAAGAATATAAAGTGGAATAATTAACTGCTTTTATGTTTGGCTAACTACTTCTTTCTCCCCTGTCTTCATCATTTTTTGTGCAGTTGAAATAGCAAGGACTCTTGTATGTTGGTCTTTCTCAATTCCTTGAAAGTTCCTTAATTATTCTGGCTTCCTCTCAGTGCTTAGGATACTGCTTGGAATAGAATAGTCATTCAATAAATATTTTGAATGAACATGTTATTGATAATAAATGACTTAGCTTTGGAGGAAGGAGAAGAGGAAACAAAAGGAAATTAGATTCAAAGCTTTTATCTACCCAGGAAACCTTACCTTGAAGAGGGGCAGTGACTACACAGATGGCACCTGTCACTTCTCTCTCTTGCTTTTGGTCTTACTGTGTGGCCTAACTTGTCTTGCTAATTCTGCATAATGACCAGGGAACTGTATCTACTCCATTTGAGCCCTGCCTCCTCTGTGAATGTTCCTCGGGTGAAGGGGCAACCAGCTGACTCAGCTGGAGAAAGGAGAAATGAGGGCAGTGCTGGACACTGCCTTCTCTGCTTCGCTTGAATAACTTGGGTTATCCCAGAAAGATAGGTGAGGACATTACCCAGAGAAGTAGAAAGAGGAATTTTCCCAAGAAATCTGAGATGGGGTTTCTTAGGACTGGGGTCCTAAAAGCTGCAGGTCAGTTTGGGAATTGGTCAGCTGGCTCAAGAGTACACAAAAGAAAGGAGCAACTGAAAACTCCATCCAGGGGCAGGTGAGTCAGGAATCAGCCTTCAGGAAGCATCCAATCCAAGCCAAGTCAGGAAAACAGAATCTAAGACAAAGGGGCAGATGAGCTTAGAGAGGTTTCCAGTGCTACTGACAGTAAATTTTTGTCATATTATGGACGCATTGTTAAAAACACTGAGCCAGGCCAGACAGAATCAGGGGCATGAAATAATTGGGAAAGTTGTAAATGGGAACAGCTGGCAAAAGATGCATCCAAAGACTGATGAGCCTTGGTGACTGCTCAAGTTAAAGTTAGATGGCATGAGCTTGTAGTGATTACAGGAGGCAAGGTTACATGCTTCTGGGGGCAGAGTGAAGAATGTGATAAGTATTGCGCTCACCTTTTCCCTTTGGTCATCTGATGCGAAAATAATCTTGATTGAAATTTCCTTACCATTATTTGCAGCTAATGAATCTTTCTGTATACAACATTCTTTTCTTTCATGGCATAATTTTTTGTTTACATATTGTACTATGCAATTGGCATATTATCATAATGACTTGTCCAGGTTTGTGATTGGAAGAATACTGCTAATCTTATGTTAAACAAATGTGCTCCTTTCTTCGTAGGCGTCGTATACTCAAACAAAAGATTGGTTTACATTAGCAAAACAAAGTCAGCAAACAGTATCAACCTTTTCATTACCATCTTGTGTGCTCCACAATAAAACTGAATCACCAGTTATTTCATCTGTTTCTGGTAAGCAAAAAAGGACGAGAATGACTTAAAAACTGCTCTTTAAGCCGCTTTTGTTATTGTTCTAAACTTATAGCATGACACTTAGTGGATGGGGAGAAAAATTGCCTCCCCCTCCAACTTTACTTTTTACTGTTTTTCAAGAGACAGCTTGGTATAGTGAAAAGAGCGTGAGTTTAAACCCAGCTCTGATACTTATTAGCTTGTGACTTTTGTAAATTATTCCACTTCTGGGAGTCTTGCTTTGTCATCTGTAAGATTAAAATAATGATATATGCATACTAAATGCATAGAAAATGCCTGGCCTAGTGTTTGGTATCTAATAGACAGTCAATAAATGTTTGTCTTTATTTCCTATCACAGTTTACAAACTCTTACTAAGCCTTTGAAATAGAATACAACCCTTCTCTCCTCCGAAAGTGAATAGTGATTCATGGAACTTGAGTTTTCCTTTTTTTAAGTTCAGACTATTTTTCACCTTGAAAAGCAGATAAACTTCTACTGTGGGAATACAGACTTTTCTTAAATAAAAGGAATCTTCCAGAAATGAGAGTGATTAACATGTATAATATTGCTAGGCAAAAAAAGAAATCTAGCAATGTGATTCAGGAGGGGAACTCAGCAGTTCAGTGATAGTTCTTACATGTTTCCTTTGAGAAGTATAAGCCACCTCCAGGGGTAAGTCTGGATTCTCTGGAACTGAACCTAAATCCAGGTAAAGAGGACAATAACCTTCCTAATTGAAAATAGCTGAATTTATGGATCTTCTTACTATCTCCCCCAATAGTAAAGCAGGAAATTGGAGAGTAAAGGTAGTCAACAGGAAGAGAAAGGTGAACAGGAAGGTGGTGAGCAGAAATGCCGGCCTTCGCTCTGCCTCCGCGTCAGTGGGGTTGAGTGGAGACTCAGTATCCTTTCACAGGTTTACGAGAATCTTATCTTAATATTGGCAAAATTTGATATATTTATCTTCAATAAAAATTGTGGTGAAACATTTCTGGTTCACTGAGATTTGAAACCTCTTGCTGAGAAAATTGAGCATGCACATCAAGGTTTGCCATGAGAAGTGAAGTATTGATACCAGATTTTTCACTGATTTCTGAAAGACAGAAAATAGGAGCTAGACTGTATCTTTAGAAAAGATGTAAAAACATTCCGTTTCTATTTGTAAGCCTTCAGAAGGGCCTTATGCAATTTTGTAATTTTTAATGATAGTTTGTAAGTGTAGTAGTAATTGAATCTTTCTGATAAAATAGTGAATTTTAAAAAATTACTAATATGACTCCAGTTCTGATCTTTCATCTCATCATCGATGGTGGCTTATTTTATTTTACCATATACATGAAATATTAAAGCACTGTAGTTATTTGATGTACACATGCTAATTCTTTAATAGATTTGGCATTTATATGTTGACATTCTCTAGCAGCCTGAACTATTGCATTTTAAAAGTGGTATAATGTCTTTTTGGAGATCCTCTTTATTAGAGATATCAATTATTTAGTTCATCTGCCACCATTATCCCCTTTCACGTCCAGGGAAGACATGGCTAATCCCTGCTGGCAGTTTTTTCTCTGCTGGTCCCAAATGTGGGACCAGCAGTTTAGAACTCCTCACAACATAGGTCCCTGTAGTCACAAACTGTATTAAACCCATTTGCCATCCTAGCTCTATAACATCCAGTTAGTAATTTAAAAAATGTTTACATTCATACCTCACCTAATAGCCTTTTATGATTTAATACAGAGAGTTTTATTTTTGATGATGGAGTTCACCCCAGGATGAAAAAGGACCCATCTAAAGCCACTAGATTAATTTCTGAATTTGAAGAAGATGGATCTGTATCTCTACAAGACACTCCTTCTCAAGCTCTTCTGAGGATATACCTTGAAAAGAAACAGGATGTTGATGAAAGCCTGATACTGCATTTCTCAACATGTGAAGAATTTTTAAAATCTTATATAACTTTTATTTTGAGGGTGGCAATTCATCAAATTCTTGGAGCTCCGCTTAGAGAAAGCCCAGATTATATAAATTTCAACCATGTAACAGAAGTGGAGCTTGATGAGTATTTGGGGCCTACCTCTGGCAGGAATGTTTTGCTAAGTGAAATGGCTCAAGCCACAACGGAAAAGTCAGAAGAAATGTTAGAACAAGGAATTTCAAAAACTGAGAGCATTGGACCAGAAGGCAGGGCTGACTGGTGTGTTTCTCACAAAACTTATGACATTGGCAATAGAAAGGAGTTCGAAAGATTTAAGAAATTTATAAAAGGTACTTTGGGGGAGAGATACTGGTGGCTATGGATGGATATTGAGAGGTTAAAAGTTCTTAAGGATCCTGGAAGACGTCAAAGGTATTTCTATTTTTTTTTGTCAATGGTTTTAAAACTAAAGAATGTTAGTTTGAGTTATTTAAGCACAGGCAGAAAGCCTGAAATAATATATAAATGTAATTTATACTTTTATAGAAATGAATAATAAGATTTATTTTATTATAATATTGATTTCACTAGTTCTGTGATTTCATAGCTTTCAGATGCTAATAGTAGCAATTATTTGCTGTTAAACATAATGTTTCTCCCCATAGATTCTAAACTTAATTTGAGATTAATCATTCTTTTTTATTTTTATAATATTCCAATGATAGATTTTTATTAAAAAAAATGATCAGTTATATGACCACAGTGGCATAAGATACCTTACATGAAAGATATCTACTACGGTTCCTAGCAGTGTGCTTGGTTTAACAAATTCTATGCTCTTTAGGTGGATGCCACCTAGACATTCGTACCTGAATGAGTTCATTTCCACTAGATAGCATGTCCTCTAGAGAGCCTTGTTAAGGTCTGAGGGGGTGGGTGCAGGTCTTTGGCTGCTCCATATGTTTTGGGTCATTGTAAGTCTTAAGAACCTTAAGAGGACCCTGTTTTAGGGAAGTCTTTATTGTCTGTGTTCTCTGGATCTTCTGTGAAACAGCTCAGCTAGAGTAGACTTCTTCCCATTTAAGGGTTTGACTGAATATGTTCTCGTGACTGGGCTATTCCAGTTATCTCAGTGGCGTTCAGATCATAAAGCTTATTGTTGTACATAGTTACAAGAGCAGGAGTTACCAAATGGTTGATTATGAAGCATGACCTGATTGATCCTGGGGTGGAAGGCCACTACCACTTTCCAAGTCACGTTAGGGAAGGTATTATGCAAGCCACCTACACTGGTTCTTTAGAATTAATGCTGTATTAGTTCTATTGTTGCAGTAATAAACTACCACAAACTTAGAGGCTTTAAGCAGCACAAATGAATTCTCTTACAGTGAGAAAGTTAGAAGTCTAAGATGGGTATGAAGGCTGCAGTCCTTCTGGACGCTCTGGAGGAGAAGCTATTTCCTTGCCTTTTCCAGCTTCTGAGGCCACCTGCTTGGTTCGTGGCCCCTTCTCCCATCTTCAAAGCCGGCAGCATAACGTCATCTCTCCTCTCTGACCTCTGCTTCTGTCTCACATCTTTTCTCTCTCACTTCTGCCTCCTTCTTAGAAGGACACTTATGATTACATTAGGGCCAACTGAATAATCCGGGATAATCTCCTCAAAATCCTAATCACATCTGCAGAGTCCCTTCTGTCATGTAAGGTGATAGTCTTAGGTTCTGGAGATTAGGATACTGCCATCTTTGCAAGGCCATTTGTTGTCCAGCCTACCAGAAATACCCTTCCCATTTCCATACCTATGAGAAATATTTGTATCTCCACATTGGTACCCCTGTAACTCACTTTTGGTTTTAAGATAGTTCATTACTTGTCTGAAACATTTTGGAAGTGAAAATATTTGGCTAGTTGACTATTGGATCAATGTGTATATGTTTTATTTCAGACATCTTGAGAAGATGAAAAAGTGCTATCTGGTGAGCAGTGGAGATTGCTACCTTTCTGCAGAAATCTTATCAAAATTTAAACTGCTAGATGGATCTCAGTGGAACGAAGGACACTTAAAAAACATTCAGTCTGAGGTTGTAAAACCCTTACTTCTTTATTGGTAAGAAAAATAAAGTGAATCAAAGTTATTTGCTTTCACTTTTCTTAAGCTAGTTACAAGTTATACTTTTTTTGTCTTAAGGATATATTATATATGGAAATTTGAAATGACAAGATTATTATATCTTTGGCCTTCCTTAAAGTATCTATCCTTTAGATAGTGGGAGTTTGGGAACCTTTAAATCCATAATAAGACTGGAGACTACTTAAGCTCCTTTTTAACTTTGTGAGCCCGTCCTTCTACACCTGATGTTTTTTATGCTCAGTATCTCGTCAAATTGATGTGTGTGTCTGTGTGTGTACATGTAGCTAGAGTTAGATTTATCATCTCAATAAACATTTTTGAGCACTTACTGTAGGCTAAGTGCTGTACTACAGATACCAAGGTAAAACATGGTCAAGTCTAGTGATTCTAGTCTAGTGGGAGGAACATGCATGTGAAATGAGTATAATACAGAAAGTGTGGTGAATGCACAGGATACAGAGAAGGAGTAATATTTCCCCTGGGACTCAAGGGACACTACGCAAGAAAAAGAGAATGGACCTAGAGAAGAAATGTGTGTCATGTGAGGATCAGTGAGCTGTCCATTGTGGCCATGATGGAGCTGATTGTGTCACTTCTCTGCTCTGAATCTTTCAATAGTTACCCCAAAGCTTTCAGTATAAAGTTCAGATTCCTTAAGTTAGCAAATATGAGGTCATTATGATTTGTCCCTTTCCTACCCTTCTAGCATTATCTCCCATCTAGGATTTCCAGATTTCTTGTATACTTTGTATTTTTCCATATATAGAGAGAATATTCTTTTTCTCTTTCTTTCTTTAAAAACTTTTATTCTTAAATATTTAAGACATGCAGAAAGGTATAAAGTATACTATAGTAGGCACCTATGTACAAACTACCAAACTTAATAAAATATTAATCCAGTACAAGCTTTCATTTTTAAGTTAACTTTTCATTTTGAAATAATTGTAGATTCATATGCAGTTATAATAATAATACAAAGAGATTCTGTATACCTTTCACCCAGTTTTCCTCAGTGATAACATCTTGAATAACTGTAGTATAATATTGCAGTATAAGAAATTGACATTGATATAACTCGCTAATCTTTTTTTCATTTTTTTCACCAGTTTTACATGCATTTATGTCTGTGTGTGTATAGTTAGTTCTGTATAATCATGTGCATTTTCCATTACAGTCAAGATACAGAGCAGTTGCATTACCACAAGTATCCCTTGTGTTGCCCTCTTACAACCATACCTACCTCTTTCCTTTCCCCCTTTCTTTCCATCTCTAACTCCTAGAAACTACTAATCTATTATATAAATGAAATAATACAATATGTAATTTGGGGGATATTTTTTTCATTCAGCATAATTCACTTGAGATCCATCCAAATTGTTGTGTGTATCAATAGTTCTTTTTCATTGCTGAGTAGTAGTCTATTGTATGGATGTTATACATTCATTCACCCATTGAAGGACATTAGGGTTGTTTCCAGTCTTTTGACGTTACTAGTAAAGCAACTATGAACACTCATGTACAGTTTTCTGCATGAACATAAGTCTCCTCGGGATGAATGCCCAAGAGTGAGATTAATGGGTCATATAGTAAGTCTGTTTTTAGTTTCAAAAGAAACTGCCAAACTAGTTTTCCAGAGGTGATGTCCCCTTTTACATTCCCACCAGCAGTGCATAAATGATCCAGTTTCTCTGCATCGTTGCAATGCTTGATGTTGTCACAATTTTCTTTTTTAGCCCTTCTACTAAGTGTGTAGTGATGTCTCATTATAGGTTTACTTTGCAATTCTCCAATTGTTAATTATACTGAACATCTTTGTATGTACTTATATTCCATTTGCACATCCACTTCAGTGAAATACCTGTTTTATCTATTTTCTAACTGGATTGTTTTCTTTCTTCTTGTTGATTTTTACAGTTATTTTTATATTCTAGGTACTAGTCATTAGTTAGATATATAGTCTGCATATATTTTCTTCCAGTCTTTAAACTTCTTAAAAGGTTCTTTCAGAGCTCCTGGGTTGGTGAGCACGTAGAGGTGCTGGGAAGGTGGTGCATCCACAGCCCTTGCCCTGTGCATTTCTTCTATCTGGCTCTCTCTGTGCTATATCCTTTAACAAAAAGCCAGTAATCTACATTAAGCAAACAAGTAAAATATTGTAGATAATGGGAACCAGAATTCTCATCAAGGTGGAAGAGAGTTACAAATGTGTCAGAGAACAGACTGAATCCTGTGGTGATGAACTGGAATTAGAGGTGCAAATGGAAAATGCATCTTGCACAAGCTCAAGTTACCATACTCAATTGTGAAGACTAATACACTGAAAAAACAGGACAAATCAAACAGGCCATGCAGACAAGAAAGAAACAACTTGTGAGAGAAAGTCTAAGGTTCATCGTGTGTGAAATTTTCCCTGGTGGAGGGGAGTGTATTGGGGGGCTCTCTAACTGAAGATTTTCACATAAGTTTTACTCCAAATGTTTCATTAGAATAGAAGCAGTTATCCTCTTGGGCCAAGTTTATTCAACGAATGCAACTTTTCTATGTCAAATGTTGCTGCCTGCACCTACTATTAAGAATAAATATAACCGTATCTTAAAGACCAAAAAAAAAAGGTTTTTTAATAGAGCAAAATTTAAAAATTTGTTGAGATCCAGTTTTTCAGCTCTTCCTTTTACGGATTATACCTTTAGTGTTGAACGTAAGAACTCTTTGCCTAGTGCTGTATTCTGAAGATTTTCTTCTTTGTTTTTTCTAAAAGCTTTGTAA